GGCAAAGACATCAGTTGAGAGAAATGATTATTGATTGTGGGTAGGTGGAAAGACTGACAGGACAGCCTTTGAGAAGGAACATCCATGTGGATGATAGGCTATCAAGAATAGTGTCAGAAAGAGAAGAAAAGAGAGCCAAACTCAAGTGTTAAAAGTCATAAATCAAAGAGGAGGGATGGAGGAATCTATTTAGGTCTTCCCAAGGAGGCACAGAAGATAACATCTGAAGGCAAGAACCAACCACCAAAAACTTGTTTAATCAAGTAGCTGTTTCTGAGATCTATTTAAATTGAATCATTTGAAACTAGATTTTTTTAAAATTATATTTTATTGATTATGCTTTTAGTTTTGCCAGCTTTTCCCCCTTTGCTTCCCTCTACCCAATACTTCCCACTCCCTCAGGCAATCCCCACACCATTGTTTGTGTCCATGGGTCATGCATAAAAGTCCTTTGGCTACTCCATTTCCTCTGTACTTTACACCCCATAGCTATTTTATAACTACCAATTTGTACTTCTTAATCCCCTCACCTCTTCACCCATTTCTCCAAACCCTCTTCCGTTGACAACCATCAAAACACTCCCCATAGCCATGATTCTGTCTCTGTTCTCCTGTTTGCTTAGTTTGTTTTTTAAATTCGTTTGTTGATAGATATGTATTTATTGCTATTTCATTATTCATAGTTTTGATCTTCTTTTTCTTAAATAAATCCCTTTAGCATTTCATGTAATAATGGCTTGGTGATGATGAACTCCTTCCATTTTTCCTTCTCTGGGAAGCTTTTTATCTGCCCTTCAATTCTGAATGATACTTTTGCTGGGTAGAGCAATCTTGGCTATAGGTCCCTGCTTTTCATGACTTAGAATATTTCTTGCCAATCCCTTCTAGCCTGCAAAGTTTCTTTTGAGAAATCAGCTGACAGTCTTATGGGAACTTCCCTGTAGGAAACTAACTGCTTTTCCCGTGCTGCTTTTAAGATTCTCTCTTTGTCTTTAACCATTGGCATTTTAATTACGATGTGTCGTGGTGTGGGCCATTTTGCATCCATCTTATTTGGGACTCTCTGTGCTTCCTGGACTTGCATGCCTATTTCTGTGCCCAAATTAGGTGAGTTTTCTTTCATTACTTTTTCAGACAGATTTCCGATTCTTGCTCTTTCTCTTCTTCTTCTGGCACCCCTGTAATAGGAATGTTGGTACGCTTGAGGTTGTCCTAGAAGCTCCTTAGCCTGTCCTTGTTTTTTGGATTCCTTTTTTCACTTTAGTTCCTCTCCATATACCACTGGTGCCTTTCAAGCTGCTACCCCAGTGCTGGAATTTTGAGGGGAGTCTGAGTAAGTCTGTATGCAGGCCCTTTAAGAGGAACTGCTTGGGAATCCAGCAGTTTCTCTCACTGATTCAACCTCTGCTGGTTTTTACAACCAGAACTTATGGGACGTTATCTTCCTGGTACTGGAACACTGGACTGGTGAGGCTCAGTGTGGGGCTGAGACCCCTCACTCCTGAGATACCCCTCCTGATTTTTATCTACCACACAAGGGTGTGGGACCAGGCCATTCCATGTCTCCATATCTCTGTTCCTCCTCTCTGGATGGATGTGGTTTCTTTAATTCCATCATTGTAAAACTTCCATTCATCTTGATTTCTAACAGTTCTGAGTGATGGTTGTTTATCTATAGTTTAGTTGTAATTTTTATGTGCTTGTGAGAGGAGGCAAACCATGTTTACCTACACCTCCATCTTGATCAGAAGTCCTGAAACTAGATTTTAGATAAATATATCATAGCCTAAAGAGTGAACACCAAGGAATCAAGGCAGTGAATGACTTCTCTCTTTCTTGCCCTGCCAATAGCATGACTTGGACAAAAATAAAAAATAAAAAAATAATCTGTGCATTGCACTTAGTCCACTACCTGAAGCTTCTCAAAATATGACTTTTCCATATTTACTTTTTTGTTAAGTTCTCCAGTTTCATTGTTCTTAGAGATCTTTATTCTTCTCCTCACTGCCTGCTGAAACCACTGTGGAGGGATGGCTTTATACCCTGATTCAGTTGCTCTTGTCCACAGCCCCATGCTACCTGGGTTTCAGATGGGAATGCTAATCTCAGGAGCAACACATTGTTTGGTTCTCATTTGCTTGGCACACATACAGTTTCATGGAATCCTGGAATCTTGGGATTTTAGAGTTGAAAGAATCCTCAAGGACATTTAAGTCAGATAGGCCAGTATCTTGCTTAATTCAGTATCTTTTCTCTCTTTCCCCACCCCCACCCCCACATTGGTGACTCTAGTTAACCCTACAATTTTTCCCCCTTCATAGAAGCTAGTTTCATCTCAGAAGAGCCAACTTCCATTTTACAATGTTTATACATTTAATCATTGGTGCCCATTTGTTTTGTAATCACTTTGACATATGAGCATTTGAGTTTCCTTTTCCTACCTGCCTATAATAGATTTAGTCTGCCTTTTGCTACATAACATTGTGGTAAGAACTTTAAGTGATTTCATAACAGCAGAATGTCAAAGTTTCTGTTTAATTTTAGCCCTTAAATTGTGTTAAGCAGCAGTGGTTTGACACCCCTGGTCATAAAATTCTACACTTTTGAAACTCGTACAGATTCAGCTAATGATTTCTCTCCCATAGTGGCTTACACTACAAGTGAGCACCATTAAAATTTATTTCACTTGCAATTTCTTTGAAGAGAGTATGATTCTAGAATTTGATTTTTAGTTCTATAATAAAATGGTAAGTTATAGATCTTTAATAATGCTGTAAATATTTTCTTTAAATTTCTTACCAATATGTAATTAACTGAAAACATTTAGCTCTAAGGAACAAGTCAACTGGCTTTGACATTGAGCATACCCAAGTTTCCATATCCTGATTATGTGTCAGCGTTTGGATTATCAGGTTTGTGAAGTGTTCAGATCTTTGTTCAACATAATGAACTGTAATGGAAGAGCAGGATCTTTGGAGACATAGGCCCAGCTCTCAGTTTTGCCATTTACCAGCTGTATGTTTTGTAAATCATTTAACTTTTGCAGCTGTAAACCAGGTATAATCACATGCACCCCCTGTAATGTATGAGGATTAAGTGAGATAATGTGTATAAAGTGTCCAACTATTACCTGGTACATAATAAATGATTAATACATGTCAGGTTCCCTTTCCTTCTGCTGCCTGTACGTTTTCCTTTTTTGCATTTGGATAGCAGGAAAAACGCCCTGACTTGACTCCTGGGTTGCTCTTCATAATCCTAAAGGATTGAGGTTTTCGGGATGTATTTCTTACTGCTAACTCCTCACTGCAAAGGTAAATAAATACTATCACTGATGGACAGAGAGGAGGAATAAAAGAAGTGAATGTTTAGAAAAAAGAAAAGAGGACAAGAGAGGCAGGAAGAGGAAGTAACAGAAGAAGAAACTGGACACAAAAGATGTGCACCTACTGGGGAACTATAGAGAAATCATTAGCCGTCTCAGAACCAAGCAGCTCCATGGTGCAGAGTGAAGACCATGAAGTTAAACAGACCCGTGTTCAAAGCCTAGATTCTCTGAGTATTAGTTTTGAGACCTTGAACAATTCCTTTATCTCTCATCATTTCAGTTTTCAAATGAAGAAAACAACAGCTAAATTTACTGTGTTTGGCATGTATCAGCACTCTTCTATTTAAATTCTCATGACAGCCCCATGTGATATACAGAATTATGATCCTCACTTGAAAGTTGAGGAAACCGGCTTAAGGATGTGGTTACCATTTGTTCAAGATCACAGAGCTGGGATTTACCCGTAGATGGTCTGGCTCTGGAGCTCACACTTTAACCACTGCACTAAAGCTGTGGACGTCACAGTGGTGGGGAGAACATGAGCTGTCTGTGAATGGGCACACAAGGGGCTGCCCTTGCATGTTCTGGTACATGTGCTCCCTCCCTTTCTCCTGTTCTTTTTTCCTCCCCCTGGTTGCTTGTCTTCTGTTATCAGGGTGAAACTTAGTTTTCCGGAAATCTCCATCTGCTTAAATGGAACTTGCCACTACAGACTGAGCCCCATTATAGTGTCACCTCAAATATACTCACACTGTCATTGTTAAATAAGTTAAGTTAGTGCAGTGGAAGCCTGTTTCGAGGGGTTGCTTATATTAATCCCCCTGGCTATAAATCAGAACAAATCTGATAGTGGGAGAAATAAAACTACTTCACCCACTTATACGCACATTTGCGCACACACTTTTACACACAGGAGTTGATTTAGTTTCTTTTCAAGCATGTTTGATTGAATTTCTCATATTAAATTAGGTCATATTTGATCATTGTCTTATAAATTGGTAGTTATTTCTTCTAAAAGTTCAGATGGTGTTTTAGCATCAAGTAGATGATGTTGCCTGATTTTTTCATTCATCGTTTAACAAAGAGTTACTGAGAGCCTATTATATTCTAAGCATGGTGCTAGGTAGAAAAATATTAAGATGCATGAGATAGGCCTTCCTTTCAAGTAGGTCATTGTCTAATGATCATAAAACCATATAATTGTACTACAATACTAGGTTGGGAATGGAGATGAACACAAAGTTTATTATTTGTATTTTGTACTTTTACAGGATCAAAAAATGTTTTCCTTATGATTCCCATCTTTAATTTTGACTGAGAATTCTGTATGCATTCTAGTAAAAATGAAAGAACCACATACTCTTTAAGTTATTTTATTAATATGTTTTAAGAGTAAGTTAGGAATCTAATTTCCTCCTCATCATTTTTAAAATTTTATTTTTAAGGTAACTGTGAGCTTTCTATGGCCAGAGATATACATGTTCATTGTTTAGCAAAAGAAAAAGAAAAATACTGGGGCACAAAGAAAAGTGAAAGTATCTTATAATCCTACTTTCCCAAAATTATCAAATAACCCACTGACTTTTAAAGGTTTTATGTTTGTGCGTGTATGTGTATATATATAAATATATAAATGTATATATGAAAATATGTTCTTTCTTCTTTGAATCAGAGCCTACTGGAACATTAGATGTCTGGTACGTGAAACAGAACATTGACTACAGTAAACAACAGGTTTCTGTTTTCTGGAAGGTAAGTTTTCAGTGTCAACTTAAAATTCAGGAGAATTATATATTTGTGTTTTTGTTTCATTGTGTATTTATTGAGATATAGTTGACAAATTACATATTTGAACAATTCATTTCAAAGATGGTAAAAGAGCTTTCTTTGATAGTCTTTCATATGAGATTTTAGAGATTTTGTTGGAGCTTGTTTTCTAAGCCAGATCTCATACTTGGCTCAATGTCATTTACTTTTGCCAGATAAGGGTGACAGCTCTGACTGAATTCCTTCCTCCACACAATCACATCTTGCCGTCATCCACTTCCTCATCTTCCCCTTATCAAGGTCCCTTCCCATCCCCAAGCACCCCCACCCGCTGGCCCCACTACATCATCTCTTCTGACTCCTGTCCCCTCTCTGCCCACTCCTCTCTCCACATATAATGTGTCCAGCAGTGACCATGCACTTTTTGGGAAATTAGAAATGGGAAATCTGTGGATGTGGATATTTAGGAATATATTTTCTACAATCATTGAAAAGGGAGAGGGAAAGCTGCCCCACCACAGGAACACAAACAATAACAAAAAATAATATAAGTGGGAATGGAAACAGCTCTTTCTCAGGAGTAGTAGTAAAACAGTAGTAAATCGAACAGCCTTCCAGGAAACAGTGCCGCCTTATGTAATTACAGGATGTGAAAGTTTCACACAGTGCTGAACTCTGGCACTCTTGTTTCATTTAATCCTCACCAGAACCCTGTGAGGTAGGTGCTAGGCATTCCCCACTTAACAAATACAGAAGCTGAGGGTCAGAGAGAGGAAGTTCTTCCCAAAGTCACCTAGCTACTGAGTACAGAGCTTGGGCTGAAACCAGATCCAGAACTCTTTCTGCTACATCGTGACTCATCTTTGTTCAAAGAAAATGCTATTTGAATTGAGCTACCAATTGGCATGCTCATAATAAGAGGTTTCTGGGTGAGCTACACTCTCCCCATTTCCCAAAACCTCTCACTACACCCCTTCCAGCTAAGGATAAATAAACAATTTTGGAATTATGAAGCAGTGAGCACAAAACCAGAAGGGTCAGAATAATGAATATATAGTCCTCTGGTGGGGCTGGCATGATAAATTTTGATAGTTGCAGTCGTCCTTGTATTTAAAAAATGAGCCAGGCAACAAATGAGCTCTTTCTCCCTTTTTTCCTTTTTCTCTCACACACAAAATGTCTGGTATAGGAGGAGACTACTCTAAATAGCTTGGTGAGTCATAATCAAGCTCTTTACTTTGAAACTAAAACCACAGCTTAAAATTTATGTTAAAATAAAGTCATTTATACTAGCAAGACAATTCTAAAGCAAGACATTTGGAGCAGCCATACTTGTGAATATTATAGAAGAACCCAGCTCAATTCTTGGTTCTTGGTGTTCATTTTCACAAGTTACTGGTTAAAACCAAAATTCCTCCTTCCATAAAGATTTCTCCTCCCAAAATGTCCAAAATAATGACCTGAAAAGATACACTGTTTTTCAGACCCATTTTATTCCCCTCTGCTCCAGGGTTTCTCCCTGTAGAATGAGAGTAATAATACTGGTATCTGTGTAACTGGCAAGACCATTGTGGGGATTTATAAATGAGAAGACAAAAACCTAGAAAAACGGAATGGAAGTACATTATGAATTGTTATCCTATCGGCGAAAGCAACACGCACCCGGTGCCATGCCTGTGAGCTTCTCACTGCAACAGAGGTTAGCACAAGTGCGATCGTGGTACTCTGACACAAGGGTCAGAGCTAAATTGGGATAAACAGTTGTTGGCCACCGGTAATACTTAGAAAACATGCATGTGCAAATTCTACTCTGCTTCTCATTTTGATCTTGCCCCTAATCCTCACAAAACTTAGATTATAAAGTGAGGTTTTGGAATTCAAAAGGATTTTAATCCTCTTCCTCTTCCAACCCATCCTTCCTCTCATAAACATTGCTTCTGCATTAACCAGCACAGACGGAAGTCTCGGCTAGGACCTTCTGAGACAGGGAGAATCCCACTTTGTAGGCAGTCCATGCCACCGTGGGCATCTCTTATTGTTAGAAGTCCTTGCCTTATGTGCAGCCAGAGTTGTAGATGCTTGACCTGGAACTGGCTTGAATAAGAACTCAAAAATGCAAATACTAGAAGCTGCTGTAACTTGGTAGTGGCGATGACAGGGTTCCTTCAAAGCCTTCAGGGACTGTCCAGCCGGAGAGACTCCTTAAGGGAAGTTGGGTCTAGTCCTCAGTTTTCCTGGGCCATTACAGAATTAGGTCCTTTTCAGCCAGATCCTGGGCTTATTCAGTGGCCCCAGACAGGTCACTCACCGGGAAGTGGGAATAAAACACCGGCCAGAGTTACGGAGGTGAGCAGGCCTGCTTTGGACCACGGACCCACAGGATCACAGGCCACTAGGGAGGGAATTTAACCATCAGGCGGTTCCCCCCCCCCCCCCCCCGCCCATTTTACAAATGCGGAAACAGGTCTAGAAAGGCAAAGTCATTTCCAATGAGAGCTAATATGGTGCTTGTTCCTGGGAGCCTTTCCTGGGCCGAAGTCACTTCTGTTTGGAAGCACTCACTTCTGACCCACTTGTCTAACCTGGGATTCCTCGTGCTGCTCTCAGGCAGGCTCGGGAGTTTAACAGAATGGTGCCATAACAAAAGTCACTCATCTGAATGCCAGATTAGAAAGAAACGCTGCAGCAACATCAAGAGCTTTGTGGTGGGGCCCAAATTAGATCTCATTGGGGAAAGGAAGCAAAGGCATGCATGCGGTGGGGTTTGTTTTTTTTTTTCTTTTAAACGCTGGTTAGTACTGGGAAACCCAATAAGGGTACATCCCACCTGGCAGAAAGGGGAATTTCAGGTGGTGTCACAAAAGGAAGCCCCAAGTAAAACCCCATTCACCTGTGAACAAAGTGAGTGCAGTTCTCTTGCAGTTGGGGAAATGTGAGATGACCTTTCATTTTTGCAGGATGTTTACATCGGAGGAGAACAACCAGGTGCTGAATGGGCATAGTTCCTGTGAGTGTGGGAATGAATGTGTGCAAGTGTGAGTACATGTGAGTGTGTATGTGAGTGATGTGTGCACATGTGCATGTGTGTTGCATAAGTGTTTGACTTCAGAGGGTATGTGGCAATGTGTGTTAATGCGTGTGTCTTTCATATGGGTGAGGACTATGAGTGAGTGTGGGTGTAGGTGTGCATATGTATATATGAATATGTGTGTGAGTGTAAGTGCATGTATGTGAATGCCTTAGTCCATGTGGGCTGCTTTAACAAAATACCATGGACTGGGTGGCTAATGAACAACAGAAATCTATTATCTAAAAGTTCTGGAGTCTGAAATGCCAAGCTCAGGGTGCTAGGTTGGTCAGATGAAGGGCATCTTCTGGGTTGCAGACTTCATGCTGTATCCTCAAGTAGTGGGAGGGCCAGGGCGCTCTGTGGGGTCTTTTTGATAGATCATTAATCCCATTCAGGAGGGCTCTATCCTCCTGACATAATCCCCTCCCAGAGGCCCCACCTCCTGACACCATCACATTGGGCGTTAGGATTCCACTAAGTGAACCTGGAGGACACACAAACATTCAGGCCATGGCAGTGAATAAGTGTGTGCAGAAGGTGTGCATGTGGATATGCGTGTGGGTGTGAATGTGTGTGAATATCAGTGTGTATCTACACGAATGTGAGTGTGTGGGTGTGTGAGAGTGAAGGAGACCTTTGCTTTGTTGCTCTGGTTCCTACATAGTTACTCATTTTCCCACCCCTTGCTTTCTCCTAAAAGCTGTATTTCCTCAAAAATATCCTGTACTATTTTTTGCCATAGTTATTTTTAAGAGAAAAAGTATTTTCTTTGCTGAAGCCAAAGAGTACAACCTAATCCATGAAATACAATAGAAATACTGGGTATTGTTAAAACAATAAACACAATAACATTTAGAAACTGTTTTCTCTGTTACAAACAGACCGTTTTGTGTTAGAGGCCTTCACAGGGAGCTTTTAGAAATCCTATCCCTCAGGCTCTATCATCTTCTGTGCAGAGTTTGTTGTTGCTTCCTCTGCTTAATCTAAAGATTAACTGAAACAATCCAGTTAATACAACATGTATCCTTTAAGAAGAAAATCACCTTGTATATACATCAATATAGATATAGATACAGATGGTATAGATATAGATATAGATATATAATGTATGAAAAGACATGACAATGGATAAAGCCACATTAACCTTTCCAGGTCCTCTGTTAGTGTCTTCGGAGTTCTTTCACTATCTTGATCATAGCAAATCAGAAACTTTCTGAAATTATGGTTAAGGCCGTAGATCTGGAAGAGAAATACCTGTGTGTAAATGAAGCTGAATTCACTCCATTCCTTCATACAAACAAATACATTAAAGCCAGTCTTTAGTACTGGGCACTGTGTGTGCCTCATGCCAGGGATATGAAAGTAAACGAGACAAATCCCTTCCCCGTGCCCTTGAACTCACAGTCCCGCAGGAGGGCAGGAATAGGAGTGGGGATGATGAGGGCACTCAGGCACTAAAGTGGAGTTCAAGACTCCGCTGAGGGGACAATGGTCAGGCTCACCCAGTAGGACAGGGAAGTGGGTAAGGAGTCAGACCCCAGAAGAACAGGTGAGCCAGGACAAGGGAGGGAGCTCGTTTGTGGGGACTATGGATTCAGCATGAAAAGCAGGGCTCTCTTCGGGGAAGTGCTGTCTCACAGGAATGCCAAGCAAACCGCAAATGTGAGCCAATCATGGGTAATTTAAAATTTTCTTGTAATCACATTTTAAAAAGTTAAAAAGATCCAGGTGGAATTAATTTTAAAAAGATGCCTAACCCAAATATATCTGGAATAGTTTCATTTCAACATGTTAACCAATATTTTTTAATTATTAGTGAGCTATTTTACATTTTTTTCCCTACTAAGTCTTTGAAAACTGGAGTGTCTACTAAGCATCAGTCCAGTGCAGCAACTGAGTGTCCACCCTACAGTTC